GACCTAGTATTCAGTAGGTGCCTGGGTGACAAGGCAGTCCCCCAATCCACTTGGGTATCAGTCCCCAGAGGTTCACTGACTATGCATTCATCCAGGAATGGTTGGCTAAGGTGCATGGCACAAAACAATTTGACTTGAACCAGGCCAAGTGGAACTTGGATGCTAGCAAAATGTTCTGGGTCTACATCCCCCAACAGAGGAAGGTACACTCCCCAGAACTGTCCTTAACTTTGGAGTTCCCCCAGAATCTTGTTTGACCAGATCTCTGAAGTAGTGTTGCTCAAGCACTTTGATATGTTACAGTATATTTCTTCTATCTCTTCTTCTCCACTAAGAAGGACGGTTCCCCCACAGAAAGAATGGCGCAATGAGAGACCCCTTTGCTTAACCCAGTTTGTTTCAGGATTATAAACTTCCAGAGAGATCAGCAGAGGTTTGGAATATTCATGTTCTGCATCACTGTCAACACCACCGCCTAATCATGTACTTCATTGGAATGACATTCTGTGTCCCTGGAGTCTATTCTGAAGTTTGGAGAACAGATCTGATCTCCTTGCTATTCCTTGCTAGGGGGCTTGTATTTGACAGTTTACAGGACCTTTTGAGACCAAGGAGGACTACTGTACATTTGGCTCTATTATACGTGGGCATTGGAGACATGTGATACCTGCACATGTAAGCCAAACATTTTAAGTGAAAGGTCAAATTAGAAGGCCACCCATCTCTGAGCTCCTGGGACTGGGACTTCTCCGCAATAAACAAGGTCTCTGTTCACTGCAAATCAGAGGAATGCCGAAGACACTACTACCTGCATTGCTCCAGTGAAGATTTAATTAGGGTCAAGTTCCCTTGTCCTGGATCAATCACACTGACCTACTAATAAGATGGAGAGGTCCAGCCATGGCCATGCCCAGAATAACAGGTCCAATCCTATGATACAAGTGTCAGTGATACTTGTAAGCCAAAAGTACTTACACAGCTGGACAAGCAGGAGAGCTTTCTGGGCAATAACCATAATCTAGCAGAATTGCATAGAGAACAGAAAGTTCATAGCAAAGGACTTTGTTTGGGACAGACAACTTTCATCCCAATAATTTGTGTGAAATGTAATACTCATTACACTAGGCTATGGTCTGTCAATAGCTTTACCCTATGAAACCATCCTACAATTATTGTGATCCAGAATACTGTATATAAAAGTTTGCATCGTTGTATTCAATAGACATAAAGTGCTTTTTGTAATATAATTCTGAATTGCTCAAATATGTACTATGGTTGATAATACTGTATATACTCCTGTGCCAAGTAGTCTTTCATTATTTCAGTTTTAACATCATTTCGTGTTACAGTATGTGTTTAAAGGAAAAGAAAGAGGTGGCTTTGGAAAATGGGGAAATGGGATATTCAGATGTATGTTTCTTAAACAAATTTTAAGAGGAATTGTCAACTGCATTTTGTCAGTTTCAAACTAACTTTGAACAATAAAGTGGGTTATAGGAAGGTGCTTAAGCTTTGTTTAGATCCTTTTTTCCAGCCACATGACAATTTGTTTTTCTTATGCAGGAAAGACATGATAAATCTTGAAAGGTCCTTAGTCAAACACTGCTAGGCTTTAATGCATCCTCTCCTCCCTGGCACACTACTGAATAATTCAGTTCACTTGGCAGAAGACCTCGGCATTAATGAATCCCTTGTGACTTGGATGTGGCGCTTGCTCATCTATAGCTCACCTCGGAAAATGCCCTTGCCAGCAGCATTTCTCTTTTAGCTGCCAAGAACTGTTGCCCACCTGAACTAATTTCAGCAGGACACAAGGTGACCAGTTATGAAGAGGCATACGAAAACAAACCTGTTCTGTCCTGTCTCTTGGCATTCATCAAAACTCTTTACCTGTTTGACTTTATTTTGACTTATTTTTCATGAAGCTTGAGACTAGTAGTGTAGTTTCTTGGATATGTTTTATCTTTTTAATGAAAGATAATAATAATATTAGTTGATTGTTGTTGTTGCTTGATCCCAAAGGTACCTAGGTCATCCATGACACATGAACGACTATGAGCCAGAGTGAAATTTAGATAGGACACCAGGGTTAACACCTTCATGAAAATAAACAGTGCTATGTGATGGTTAATGGCCAAATACTGTAGTTAGGATTTCAAGTTAAACATCTCACCTGGAGAACATTACCACCTATTACCACCTTTGTTTTATTTCCTAGTTGCAATTATAGCACGCAGTGACGTGCATGGAAAAGATCATCAAAAATAAATGTTTGAGTGTTTTAAAAGCTTGAACATCGTACTGAGAATTGTATCTAGAAATGGAAAGACTGCTACTAATTCCGCAAGGGAGCAAAACCCCTTTGTAAGCAGTTTGGTGAGTTTTTTTTCATATTTTCTTTACACCTACTGTGTATTAAATAATTTTGGGGCAACAACTCACCCATGGAATTAGCATGTTAATTAATCTGTTTCTAATAAATCACATTTGGATCTGTGTAATTCTGAACTGTTGCATTTAGCTGGAACTCTACATAATGTGAGGGATTATCTTTGGCCTTTTCAGATGTTTGGTGGAGAAAATCAGTGACATTTAGTGATCAATAGTTCAGGTGGGTAGCTGCGTCAGCATGCGTAGGCTGCAAAGGAACAAGTAATAGGTTTATTCCATGCTGAAAAGGCCTGGAAGGCCTAAAGAAGGCTCTATGGCTGAAACATTGTGTTTTCTTTCTTATTTTCTTCAGCATGGAATAAACCTATTACTTGTTCCTTTAGTGATCAATGACAACTAATGACCAGGCAGAAATGTCTTGCTCTAGATAAGCTCTGACTCTGTATAAAAGAAGAATCATGGTCCAAATGACTGGACCCAATACTCAAGTCATTCTTGTTTCAAACTTCTTCAAACATTCAGTTTATGATTCTTGAATTACGAGGCCTTACATGTCACCTCTGATACAAAAGGGATATTCATTTTTACTTAAATCATATAGTAACTTATGATGTTGAATTAAATTATTGTCATCAATAAATTGTTTATGGTTCATTTTTGTATACAACACTATTAATTTGTTTTCTTAAACATATGTTATACTTTAAAAAATTCAATATAATTATTCAAAATAAATTTCAAAATTCAGATGTTGTGGTATAAAATATTTTTATGATATTTCAAGAACAGTACATTTTACAAGTGAATAATATTTAAGTATTGGGAGCAATATTGCAAAATCTCTTCACTATGACCCACACCAGTCAAAGTCAAAGACAGATTATTGACTCTTCAAAATTAATATTATCCAGCATCTAAGTTAGTTGGGTTAAATTTGCAACTGCATTGCACACAGACAGTCTTGGTCTATTAACATAACATAGTATTAAACGTGAAAGTGTTGTTCAGAAATCTGTGAGAATTCACTTTTTCACTTTATATCAATCTTTTTAAAAAAAAGCCATAAGAATAGAAATTTGATTGAACAGGATTTGAAAAATGAAAAAAAAAAATCAAGATAAAGAAATCATGTTTAAATGCTGAACAATCTCATAAAATAATTTGTTTATGGACAAAGGCAAACAGACTAGTAGACATACAGTAGATACAAACAAAAGCTGACAGATCGATTGACAAGGACAGGTCAATTGGTAAGTAGATTTCCCTCCTCCAGAGGGTGTAAAATAAGAAACATATAACACCAAACAACCAGAAAAGGAGGCAGAGGCAGAAGTATGACAGCACTGTAGACAACACAGAATATAAAAAGTACAGTATATACACATTCATTTTCCACTAAAAAGTTGATAGGTTGAGCAGGTTTGGTCTTTGCTTCTTGTACCTCCTATTTTTAATCAATTATTATTAATTACACATTATAGGAGAAACATTTACTATTGTATCACAGTTATGAAGTGCATGATAATAAATCTTTATACTGTACATTATAGTTTCCATGTAAGTAGGATTGTAGTCTACATCTAGGGCACAATTTGTAGCCATGTGCTTAGTAGCAATATAGCTCTGTAACCGTCCTCCAACACATTAATTTCAATGTACCGCTGTGAAGATGGATGACGTATCTAAGCAAAATTTGTCTTGACTCATTCTATGAAAGCTGGGAACAACATGCATATGAATAAGATTTCAGAAAGGTTAACAGCTTGAAAGATGAATCATTTTGCTTGAATTTCAAAGAAGCATTAAAATAGCCAATACCAGTTTTATTTAGGACTTTTTTAGTTACACGTATGCACCATTTTCTTTTATTTGTTGTTAGAATTTTAAACTTTTGTTCTGGAATACTGATACCTAAAGTTTAGGTAGCGCCTATCCAACATTTTCAGAAAATATGGGCATATTCAGTAATTAAGAGGGTAGTTGAGATAAGTGCATCAAACCAAAGCCATATTATATTTTAACCCTTCTCTTTATAACTTTTTAATGTTTGGCTAGTATTTAATATATCTAAGTTCTTCATTGTTTTGGTCTTACTATGAACAATTAGACATAAACTGTTTCTACCTCATTGAAATTGTGTATAACAAAATGATTCAATCCAGTTTTGAAGCAGTGCATTCTATTATGAACTACAAATATGTAATGGAGGAATCAGCATGGCGAGAACATCTGACGGAATGAGAATTTATAAATGGTGTGACATAAGATTTTAGGGTCCTACTCTTTGCATAAACAGCATTAACAGAAAAATTGCAATCTATTTTATTGTGTTATAAACGTACATTATATTTTATAATAAATTTGACAGAACCACGGTAAACATCTGAGCAACATGAGTATATTTCCTGTACCTATTTAGATAACTTTGGAATAGACACAGGAAATAATATTACACAAAAAAACCCAAAAAGAAATATATAACATAATCACATCACTGAAGGTATCATAACCTTTAAAATAAAAATTTGAAAATATTTATGTGTATTAAAATCTAAAAAAAACTAGAAATTGTCTTGAATATATCTCATCTAACTGATTTTGAGCTGAAATGTGTTTTCTTGTTTTTCTGAAGTGTTTAAACTTGAACAAAAAAGTACCCTTCATCTGAAAAAATGCAATGGTCCACACTATTTTAATTTAATCTATTATCATTTTGCTACTGAAGGATATACTGTAGCTCTACAGTTTAAAAGCAGTTTCTTCAGTTTGCTTCTGTAAATGGTTAAGATACGCTATGTTAACCTGGGACACAGTGAGGTTTAGGATCCTCTTTTTGTGTTGGGGTTAATATAAATTTAAAAATAAAATAATCATGCTCAATACATGAGTATGACATACAGTATTTTCTTTGACTTGATGGAATACCATGGTACTGTTTAGTAAATCCTTACCTCATGTAACATACTTAAATCTTTATTAATAACATTTTATATTGACAAATTTCAACATAGTATATACGTGAATACACAGAAATGTTTTGTTGGTTTTAACCATTTTATTGAATATAACCCATTATGCATCATTAAGCAAACATACCTTACTTAAATAGCAGAGACCAATACAGAAAAAGTGGTGCTACATTAAACATATAGTTTGTGTTAATGTGCTGTACGCAATGTGATGAATGGTGTTGAGCTGTAAGACAAAGAAAATATAAACAAATTGCTAAGACATACCTGAGGTACAATAAAAATGTAGTTTTTATTCTTTTGGCTTTTTAAAATTTTACCATTAGTTAAGGTAATAGCATTATCCTGCATGCAGTTCACTAATACACTACAAGCATAATAAAAGATGGCATCTACTGAATGTCTGCTTGTGTAAGTAAACCAAAAATAATATATATAATATATATTTATGTTAAACAAGTTCATTACTATGCTCTTCTGTGAAAAAAAATGGTGGACCCTTATTCCATTTACAGTAGTTCTCAGTGCAGAATGAACCATTTTACAAGAACAAATAAATTAAAATAAATAGAAATGTAAACAAATGCAGGAAAGAATCAAGGACTGGTGAAGAGACTTCCTCCTTGACACCTCCATTTTCAGGCAGTGCTATTGAATCATATAATAGGCTCATCTATGCTCCATCTTTGAATATCACTATGCAGAAGCAGGTAAACTGTGGTCCCATTTTACAAAAACAAAATTGTACATATCAAAAGCAATGTGCAAAAAGTTAAAAAAAAATCTATACCTCCCCATGTATTGTTTTCTCTGGGGATGAAAAAGTGCTATGGATCAAAAGTAATAAAAGTGGCTGTTATGTTGACCTCAAGCCCATATTTTAATAGCATATTTTATATACAAAAACGTTGAAAAATAAATAAAATGAATTATATTACAATATTTATATTAACATTGAGTGAACTCTAACCACTTACAATTTTCGCAGCTTAAGCAGAGTGTGTCGTGTTCTATCTTTTCTGCCTTTTCTATACAAAAGACGATATCCGTTTTTGAAAAATAAAAACGTTAACAGAAGCATTTCTTTTTTTGTTGAAAAAAAGAAAGAAAAACTATTTTAAGAGAAGCAACAAACTATTGCTTAATGACATGGAGAGATGAGATTCTGTTGAGCAATTTATGTTTTGCCACCAATATATGGCTTCCCAAATCTGAAGACTTTTCAACAGAGGAAGAAACATAGCGTAGGCAATATAACATGCATCAAGGACAGCCTTCAAACTACTTATGATATAGAATATAGCGTGTTACCTGTCATAAGCTTGCAGACTAGCCTGGGTGGTACATATTTGAAGCAATAGACACTCTGCCAAGAAAACCTGCTTGCTCAAACATGCACCACAGAGAAATTAACTATTTACATCACAGAGGGATTTCATTTCATTCATTCGAAACGTTGTCTTGCGGAGAACTGAAGATGTCTAAACAATACTGTGGGAGTTAAGGATCTATATTTATTGTACTGTATTCCTGGACAAAGAAAAATATCTTTGGGTCAATTTGAAAGTAAAAAAGGAATGTAGGGTTGGGAGTGGATGGGCATTTTTGTTTTTCTCCCAGTCTTTGAGAAATGGAAAATAAAAGGTTGCTGATATTCATTCAACCCATTTCCTCTCAGCTTACAAGTGGGTTAAAAAGGGAGTAGAATAGGCACATACAAATGTCTGGTGTTACCAAAACATGATTAAGAAGCACCTCAAAATATTGAGAACCACCCTGAAACACTGACATGGATAAAATATACTTTTTTTTTCTTTTTTGATGACTGAATGATCCTTCATGCATGATTATGAGTGCACATGCTTCCATGCAAAAAAAGTGTATGTGTTTCAAGACATTGGTAAACACTTTTTTGTTGTTGTTTCTGGTCCTCTTACCATTAAAGCAGTACATAAACCCCCACCCTATCAACATAAAACCCTTTTACAAAAATAGTCACATATAGAATAAATAACCTATGAATTAAAAACAATGAAATTAAAACAGATTTTGTAAAAACAATAAAAAATATGGCAGTTGGAATGCAAGACACTGGGTGAAGTAGAAATAGAAGAAATAGTTATACTAAAGTGTTTTAGGTTTCAGCAACACTCAAAACAAACAAAAAAATGTTTTCTGGTCCCTTTAACTGGCCCCTACAGTGCGAGTAGCCGTTTTACTCTCCCATTAAGCAGTGTCAGCTGGTAGTAAGAACAGCAACCTCCCGTTTAGGTATTTGACTCCCCTCTGCCATTTAGAGTCACAGTCTCCTGACGAGGGTCACTGCCTTATATTAGGCACTGACCTTAAATAGTTTAGTAAGCACTGTCAGTTTGGCATAGATCTCCACACAAAACGGAGTCCAGTTGACACAAATAGGTCACCTTCAAAGGCTGTAAACAATTTGTCATATAAATGGACTTTTTTAAGTTTGCATTTTTTATTTTGTTTTTTTACTTTTTATGCTCCCTGACATCTTTGCCCTTATCTTCTTTCTCTCTCTTGTCTTTCTCATATTTGTCTTTGTCGGGTTTTGTTACACTGTCATAAGAAGGTGGGGAAGCTGTAGAAGGTGTCATGTCTGTTTTCTCAGTGGTTGAGTTTTCGTTATATTTGTCTATTACCATTTCTTCTTTGTCCAGTATGTGTACTCCAACTTTGTTTTGTTCTTTGTACATAAAAGAGGCCTGCTTAACGGTTCGCCTCATGAGATATCGCCTGAATGCTCTCTGAATGATAACGGCAGACACATCCTCTTGCTTTCGACGAAGGGTTGTCGTGATGGGCTCATAAGAGACCTTGGATGGATTTGATGCCATAAAGCGTTCTTCCATTTGTCCGCGCAGTGCGTCCATTTCTCCACCTTCTCCCAACACTCGTTTTGTGAAAGCAAACAAAATATCAAGGCAGTGAATGCGTTCCCCACTGACCATCGGCAAGTCCATTGCAATAAGCTGGATTTTGTTTGGCTTTGGTACACGAAGTGGAGGCTCCAAAGCATCGGCAAAATCAGATAGTTTAGCATACTCCATGAACTGAGTGGCATCGGGATCGAATTTCTCCCACACCTCATAGAACATTTCGAAATCATCCTCGCTCAGAGGCTCAGCGCTTTCCTCCGTGGCAACGCTGAAGTTTTCTAGGATGATTGCAATGTACATGTTTACTACGATTAGAAAAGATATGATGATGTAGCTGACAAAGAAAAAAATCCCCACAGAAGGGTTCCCACAATCGCCTTTCACAGAGCTGCCAGGATGGTCTTTCTCACTGTCGCAGTCAGGTGCCCTGCTGTTAAGTATTGGGGCCAGTAATCCATCCCAGCCAGCCGACGTTGTAATTTGAAATAAACAGATCATGCTGTTGCCAAAGGTTTCAAAGTTGAACATGTCATCAATACCAGCTTCCTTTTTGACATAGGCAAAATTTGACATGCCAAAAATGGCATAGATAAACATTACTAAGAAGAGCAGTAGACCAATGTTGAACAAGGCAGGAAGTGACATCATCAAGGCAAAAAGAAGTGTGCGGATTCCTTTGGCACCCTTTATGAGCCGAAGGATGCGTCCAATTCGTGCAAGTCTGATGACTCTGAATAAAGTTGGTGAGACGAAATACTTTTCAATAATGTCTGCAAGAAACATGCCTGTGGGAAATTTAAAAAGAAAGAAAGAAAATTGGAATAAGACTTGGGGAAAACAATGTCGCTAAAATCTACTTTGATATCAATGCTGTCAGTGGTAAGTGCTTTATAACTAAAGATGTTTAAAATTACGTTTTGAAACATTTACACAAAAAGAAGAAAATTGCCACGAAAAACATAATTAATCTTTAGAGCTGTCAAAGACAATTTTAAAATATTTTGTTACTCAAAAACATACATACCGACTATTGAAAGAATGACAACAACAAAGTCAAAAATGTTCCAACCAATGGTGAAGTAATAATGCCGAAGTGAAATCAACTTCAGTACACATTCTCCAGTGAAAAGGACAATAAATACAAGGTTAATCCAGTAGAGAATATTTTCCATGTCTTTAGACTGGTCATCAGTTTCCACCATCATGGTAACCATGTTAAGGCAAATGAGAATCATAATGGTGATATCAAAGGCTTGCTTTGTGACCACGTCAAAGACGCATCCTTGGAACTTGTTCTATAAGAAAAGCACACAATATTAGATATTTTAAAATTAAAATCTATGTATTTTTTGCTTTTAGAGATGTCATGTTATATAGTTAATTCTAATTCAATTATAAAGTTAAAAGATTTTCTTTTGTAAACAACAACAATAATAAACCTATTTTATATAGCACCTTTAAAAGTTGCTTGTCAAAGCACTTTACAGGAAAAGTAAAACAAAATAAAATCAAAGAATACAAAGACATGAGCTAACAAAATAAGCACAAATAAAAACAAGAGATTAGAAATACAGCAGTTGGTTGAAGATGCAGTGAACAGATACCGATACCAATTAAATAAAAGCCTTTCCGAAGAAGAAGGTAGAAGATTTTCAGTCTTGATTTTAATGCACTCAGGTAGGTGACTCTCTAATATCCTTGTGGACAGACTTTTTTTAAGCTTTGGTTCATAGCAAGAGAAGGCCCTGTTACCCACAGAGTGTAAACGAGCTTGGGGGACATACAGATAAGAAGACCAGAGTCAGAAGAACGAAGATTACAAGGTGGGGAGTAGGAAAGATAATAAATCAGATCGGTACTGAGTTGCCAAGCCATGTTGAGCCCTGTAGGTGAGCATGGGGATTTTGAAGTCGACACAAAACCTGATAGGAAGCCAGTGCAAGGATTCCAGGACAAGAGTAATGTGATCACCTGCACGCGACCTGATCAGGATTCTAGCTGCCATACTGAAATTTGTTCAGTGTGGATTTAGATCCCCCAGCAAACAGGGCATTGCAGTAATCAGGTCTAGAAAAGATGAATGTGTTGACCAACTTTTGTGCTACAGTCAGAGGCAACATAAGACATACTGTAGTCTGGCAATATTTCTGAGATGGAAGAATAATTGCACAATATTTTGCATAAGGGTCAAACGTCAAGCCCAGAACAACTATCACCCCCAAATTCTTCAATTTAAATTGAAATTCAAGTACAGTGCCATGCAAAGATTAGGTTACAGCACTGGCTTTACATAGTTAATGGGAGGTACCAAGAAGCAATACTTCAGTCTTGCCACCATTTCAATTAAGGAAATCTTGAGTCATCCAGATTTTTATGTCAGAGATTAAAATAGGGAATGGGGAAACAGCTTTTTCAGTGTTGGGTTTAGTATGGACATAGAATTGAGTATCATCAGCACAGAAATTATCATTCAGATCATGAGATTTTAATATCTGACCAAGTGGGAACATGTAAATGATTAAAAGTGGGAGGGGCATATCGAGTCCTGAGGAACACCAGACTTAATGAACCCACTTTCAGAACTGAAACTTCCAAGAGAGACACTTTCGATGATCAGTAAGGTAAGAGTTAAACTATTTAAGAGCAGTGTCAGAAAATTCAAATATAGTCTCAAGATGAGAACGTAAGATGTTATGATTGACGTTGTCAAAAGCACTGAGGTCTAAGAAAAGAAGATCGTTAGTGCCTTTAATCAGGGCAGCTTCTGTGCTATGTAATTGTCTGAAACCAGATTGGAAGGTTTCCAAGAGGTTATTTGCAATCAGATGGTTATTTATTTGAATTGCAACATCACATTCTAAACTTTGTGCAAGAAAAGATAGGTTGGATGACAGAAAATCAAAATTAATTCTGTTTTTAAGTGATTTAATGAACCGGTCTTCATTGATGATACAGATTAAAGAACAATGTAGTGTAGAAAGCAGTATGAAGTAGTCTGCAGATTAGAAAGCAACTGTCATTATTTCAAAGTTCTATATGTCCAAGGAAGACTTTAAATTTACAAGAAGCTATGAATTTTGTAGAAGTGGATTAAGACTTAAGATATGCAGTATTATTTCATGATCTTAAGGTTAACTGGAAGGCTTTTCATGAGAAAAGAAGATAATAGTAGTTACAGTATAGGAAAGATAGCAGATTGAGTGAAAGTCAGAGGCAACAGCCATGCAAGAACAGACAGGTGCCTCTCTCACATTCACTGGTAGAGATTCGAGGTGAAACTTAAAGCAAACCAATGGAGCACTTACTGTACCATATTTAACTTTCCCTACTCAAACAGTAAAGGGTTTGTATTAAAACATATACAGATGACATAGGACTTAGTGATGATATCAATGAGAGTGATTATCATATGTGATTTTAGAGGTATAAAAGTGTTAACTATATAGTTGTTACATCTTTTACACTGAGAAAAACAATACCTACCGCAGGCCTGGGGATAGGCTTTTGTGGTTTCTTTGATCCAAGCTTCTTCATTGCATTGTAATATTTTTTCTGTTCCTCTGTCATGAAGATATCCTGACCTCCAAAGTAATGGACCAAAACAAAACTGGTTACAACCTAGTGGATTTTTATTTTCAAAATAAAATGCTGGTCTTTAGTAATTACACATATCCTGAAAAGCTAAGAAAAGTACCTCAAGGTAATTTTTACTAATAACATGATGATAAAGACCTTTTGTATGAATCCCTGACACATTACTGCACAGCAAATGCCTGACTATGTGACTCTTGGACCTGAAACTGCTGAGTCAGATACCTGTTCATGCAAATCACTGTGTAATATGGCCTGAAGTCATGTCAGCACTGAAATGTTATAAAAGGCATTTTTTCCGCTACACGGACTCAGCCAGTCTTACAAAGCATTCATGCTCATTACATGCAGATATGCTGCTTAAAGGAATAAATTGTGCCTTGTACACTTTTCTTTTTTTACTTCTTCCCTATTTCAAGTCATTTTGTGTGTGTGTTTCTTCATGATCCACAATTTTTATTCTGGGCAATTATGTAACTGTGTCAATGATCTATGGCAACAAAAGCTGATCCTTAGGAAACTCTGGAAGGCTCAAAAGGGGTGTGGGAGTATATACAAAAATCATTTCTGTCTTCAGTGCACTATTTTTCGCCAATGGGCCTTGTACTATAGCTATAAGAACAGAAATAGCTATACTGTATGTGATATATCATATGTAATATGTACAGTAATATGCAATAATGATTTCAACTAATCTATTCATCCCTTTTTGATCCACTGGTCCAGAAATGGTTATAGCTTGGCTTAAATAATGAAAATAAGCAAGCATATATTAATTGCTCCTTTAAGTTACTGTATATTCAACACCGTGTTTGTCATTTTTTGGTCTAAGTTACAAAACATTCCCTAGATTTGTCTGATATGATACATTAAGGAAAAATAAACAGACATTGCCTAATTTTCATGTTGTTTATCAAGTTCAAAATACTTATCTTTTTCTTTTGTTGATTGAAGTTGTCGATAATGACACCAATGAACAGGTTTAATGTGAAAAAGGAACCAAAGATGATGAATATAACGAAGTACAAGTACATGTAAAGGTTTACTTCATAATCTGGTTGATCTTCCAGCTGAAAGGGAAATTAAAAAGCTATTATTTAATGCATATATAGAACAATATATCAGGCAGAAAGTTTCTCAACACACAACATAGTCTTTTCATCTTAGCTTTTTAGTATGAAAGACTGCATTATAAAATGATTAAATAAACGGGGCTAAATTATTAAAGTAATGTATGAAGGGCAACTTTCATTTAATAAACATTAGGCCAAACTCACTTTTTATACAGAAGATTTTTATACTGAGAACTAGACTGAATTATGGTATAGCAAATTTAGGAAAGAATGCAGTTTTTACTTTAGTTAATTCTTACTTTTAATATTGCAAAAACAAAAAAAATGTCTCCTAATGCTTTTTTCATCTAATAAAGTGAAGAAATGAGCTGGGCAATCTATATGCTGAGAACTGCGGCATTTGACTTAGGATTGGAAAAACACAGCCTATTACAAGCTAAACAGTATCGCAATACCATGCTGATCAAATAAAATAAGATAAGACTGTGACTGACTAATGAAACCCCCAAACCCTAGAATTTCAGCACAAACTGTTGTTTCAAATATGATTATACTTTTTTGATACCCATTGGCTGACTGAATAAATCAATTCATCCGTTCATTTTCTAGCCAGGCTATTCAACTCAGGGTAGCAGGGGAGCTGGAGGCCATTCTGCCAGTGAGCCTGGTCAGTACCTGGATGGGAGACTCCTGGAAGTAACCAAGGTTGCTGCTGGAAAAGGTGTTAGTGGGGCCAGCAGGGGGCGCTCACCCTGCGGCTCATGTGGGTCCTAATGCCCCAGTATAGTGACGGGGACACTATACTGTAAACAGGCGCCGTCTTTCGGATGAGACGTAAAACCGAGGTCCTGACTCTCTGTGGTCATTAAAAATCCCAGGGTGTTTCTCGAAAAGAGTAGGGGTGTAACCCAGGCGCCCTGGCCAAATTTCCCATTGGCCTTTATCAATCATGGCCTCCTAACAATCCCCCTCTATGAATTGGCTTCATTACTCTGCTCTCCTCCCCACTGATAGCTGATGTGTGGTGAGCGATCTGGCGCACTATGGCTGCCGTCGCATCATCCAGGTGGGGCTACACATTGGTGGTGGTGGAGGGGAGTCCCCATTACCTGTAAAGCGCTTTGAGTGGAGTGTCCAGAAAAACGCTATATAAGTGTAAGCAATTATTATTATTATTATTATTATTATTATCATCACAGGGCACACACAACCACTCCCACAGTAGGGACAATCTTCCCAGACGCTATTTAACCTACCAGTATGGACATTAGGAAGAAACAGGAGCACCCAGAGGAAACCCATGCTAACACAGGGAGAACATACAAACCCCACTCAGGTACTATGGCACCCCAGGTTCGTAATTGAACACAGGGCCCTGATTCTGTGAGGCAGCAAAACTAACCACTGCGCCACCAGTAGGCCCGACTGATTCAATCATTTCTAGTTATTTATTATAGATTTAAGCCTGTCTGCTTAGCTCACCAAAGAGAAAAAGTGATCACAAGACTATCATTTTAAAAACTTACATCCCGTGAATCCACAGCAGCATACATAATATCCATCCATCCTTTAAATGTAGCCTGTAAACAGATGACAGTCAGTTTGTAAACCATTTGTTCTTATATTGCACGAGAATCATTTTCAAAAGAAACCCCAAAAGAGACAGCATTTAAAATGTAGAACATGATAACAGAAAAGATTATACATTTCCTTGATGATTTTTCTTTCTAGATCTGTAACATCAAAAGCTGTGTAATACAATTGCAATTCAAAGTTAGGTACCATGGTTACATGTTTATTCAATTATTCTATACGGTGAAAAAGGTGAATTATGAGTTCTAATGATGGCTTAATGAACCAACAAAGAAAACAATGGTCACTTGATGTTCAATGATTGTATTTATTTCTTGCTGAATCCAATTTTTGTTGAATGCAAAACTACCTTATCTGTAGAGAACATTTACTAAATCAAACTTATTTTACTTGTACTAATTGTAAAATGTCCTATTGATCTCACTGTGCCCTTTAATTTATATCTAATATTGTGCTTTCACCAACAGCTCAGATGTGTGCCATGTTATATACAGTACAGTATATACTGTATAACATTATATTATATTAACATTATAACACTGTATTCACAGCCATCATAAAAAACACCTCTCATCAGCTAAATGGGACTGTTATTAGGCAGCAGAGCACTTTTAGTAACAGACTGCTCCAGCTACGGTGTTCAAGGGAATGTTCCCGCAGGTCCTTCCTCCCGGTGGCTCTCAGGGTGTATAACACTGCCCTATGCTAGGACTACTCATCTATGGACAGCATGTTGCACTATTGTACTTTTTGGACACTGCATTAATATACTGTTTAAACTGTGGTACTTTCAATCTGTATATGCCTATGCGCATTTTGCACATATTTTATTGTTTTACAGTGACTATGAGCATATTTTGCAAATACCTAACTCTATATATTTTATTTTGTATTGCTGTACTTATTTTATTTTAATTTTTAGTCTATTCTGATGTCTGTTTTTGCTTGTCTTGGGCTGGGCTCACCTCAGTTTCCCTTCGGGATCAATAAAGTCTTATCTATCTATAACTATATATATATAATTTACTTTAATGGTGTATTAGATTAGACTCAAACACAATATTTATCTGCATTCTCTATAATGACAATAACGTATAATACATTTCACCATTTTCTTTCACCATTTCTAAGTATGAGTCCCTTGATTATATGCCAATGCAAAACAAAGTAATCCTTGGCTTTGAAAAAAGGAAATATGTGAGATGTAAAACAACTACACTTTTTAAAATAAAAAAAAATAGCAAAGCAGTTTCATATCCACAGTTCATCCTGCTGTTTAAGCATACATATGCAGAGCCAAACTCTTAAAATGTTGCCAAAAGCTTGAAATTTAAAGTAGCATAGTCATCCAGCTCCAGGCTACACTCATCTACATAAATACTTTTCATGAGAAATAACACAAACCCAAGGCTAGCATGCCATTTGAGCTAACCAGTGATTACTGCATAACTCAACAGCCATAACAGCGTTGCAAAACACTGTGAACTACACTCAAGGTGCACCTTCCAACCTGACTACAGTAGATGTAACAGCCATAGGCAACACATACTATATCACTGAACCAAATATTTTCCCACACTTTTTGCTGTTTGAAAGAGATCTTCACACCTCAGCCATAGGCTAGAAGTACGATCTTCCTGTCCACTGCTCTGTGGTCTGCACTTAATCTCTAGAGGGTAAATACAGTCCTCAACCCTATATTATTATTAAAAATTGTTGTTTGGCCATTATAAATCGAGCTATAGAAAACTATACTGTAGATACAGCAAAACATTCACTCAATTACAAATACAAAACAGAATCAATATGAAAAATATCGGTACCATTGCAAAATAAATAATGCAAAAGAAAGATACAAAAGTCAAAGTGGAATAAAAGGATGGTGACATTTGTGTGGTATTGAGCCATATGGGATGTGTACACACCATACATGCAAATTACAGCCAAATACAGACTCCTCTTTTCATCTCTCAGAGTGGTAGAATATTACTTTTATGGTGCATACTTGCTACACTATGACTAGCATGGTACTCAATGCTGCAGAATGTATTGTAAACCACCGCTTACCACTTGTAGCAAAGCTAGGTAGCCAGCTCCCACATTGTCAAAGTTGATCTTTACATTCTTCCACCGACTACCGTTCCCAAGTTTCAAACAATCTGACATGTTGTTTACAACGTTGACAAGGAACCGTTCATCCGTTGTGGTGTTCACACAATGATAGTACTTGCCAGCAAAGAGATTCACACCCATTATACTGAAGATGAGCCAGAAAATAAGACACACAAGGAGCACGTTCATGATGGATGGAATTGCTCCAATAAGAGCATTGACAACCACCTAGAATAAATGCAGTAAGGGGAAAAAAAAGAGGCCAACGTTATTATAAAGGTTACATATTACAGAAAATGCATCTGACTACAATAATATCTCGGCTGGTAAAAGAGGGAAAAGTAATCAACAGCTAACATACATGTCAATCTCAACATAAGGGTAGGAAACACTACAAGGAAAAGAGAAGGAATGATATTTTTGCGGGGCACACGAAATCACAGTAACAGATGTTTCAACAACTGCAATGTAAAGACAAAAAGGGGAAAAAAACCTTTTAGAAGCACGATGAAGTCACAAAATTGTGTTTACTGTAAATGAAAAGAAAAAACAAATAACAAATAAAAACCGTTAAAAACACAGTACATTCAGAAAGAACACAAAAACACAATACAATAGTAAGCCTGATCAAGTCAAACAGTGAAAACGTTTTTTTTTGTTCATGCATATGCAATAATCCAAAGGCTATCATATGTAGAAGAACAATTATCATGGAGCTTCTGAACATCTAGTATATCACTGAGCAGATATTTCTTTTAAAAAGGTATGAAGTACTGTAGGTAATGACGACAAGAGAATTGTCACATAATTCAAACAAACATTGTATCGTGGCATAACAAAGTTCATTCTAACTCTGTCCTTCAGATGAGACATAAAACTGAGGTCCTCTGTGGTCATTAAAAATCCCAGGGCGTTTCTCAAAAAGAGTAGGGGTATAACCCCGGTGTCCTGGCCAAATTTCCCATTGCCCTTACCAATCATGGCCTCCTAATAATCCCCATCTATGAATTGGCTTCATTACTCTGCTCTCCTCCCCACTGATAGCTAATGTGTGGTGAGCTTTCTGGCACACTATGGCTGCTGTCGCATCATCCAGGTGGATGCTGCACATTGGTAGTGGTGGAGGGGATCCCCATTACCTGTAAAGCGTTTTGAGTGGAGTGTCCAGAAAAGCGCTATATAAGTGTAAGCAATTATTATTATAATAATTACATTAATTCACAAACAAATTCAGAGGAGTCATTGTACATAAACCATTAGATAAGAATTATCATCAAATTTCTCTATATTTTCAATCTTATGTCTATGGAAATAGAAACATTTACGACTGCTCAAGGGATGACATTAGTTTTTACTATCAGCTATCTACTCGGGCGTAAACTTCAGCAGAGGAAAAGAACCGACTATCATATCATATATTCAAGTCTGATGTACAGTATTGACTTTAGCCTGTACAGTATCACCTTTAATTAAAGCAAAGATCCTGTATAATCCTTTCTAAATTTTAATACTGTATGTTTCTTCGGTATACATTACAGTATACTGCATGTAATTATTCTACTAAGAAAGGTTACCCTTGTCACATTCTTTCAGTTGCTCAATACTGTGGAATAATCTCCCAGACCAGATTATAAATATTACAGATTTTGATTTTAGTAAGATGGTGCTTTCAAATAAAAAATGTTCTTGTATACATTGCAAGTTTCTGTGTTTAAATTTGTTCCTTATTGTTTTTTGTATGTGTCTTGTTTTATACTAAAGCACTTTGAGATAATGTATCAAGAAAAGCATCTTATAAAGATTACTAATCAATTACCTAAATGTAACATTTTTAACATAATTTGTTTCAGTCAATATTAAGATAGAATAACAAAAGCTGTAAGAATTAAATTTAGTCCATTGCTTCCAGTAATTCTATCATTCTTAATTGGGCTGGGTGGCTGTTTGGATATTATGTTTTATTTGGTTGTTTTTTCAAAATTAATAAAAGAAAGCCACATTTTCTTTTAGTGACTGCTTGGCAAAGCTATCAGACTTCTGCTGGCAGTCTGATAGCTGTTAGCTACAGTATGCTGTGGGTAAGGAAGAGAAACCCCCATTCACTGAGTGTGCTTTCATGGATCAATAAACCTAAAGGTCATTCCTCTGAAAGAGCCTGTTTAGCTTCACAGTTGCCAATGCATGTGATTAGTGGGGGCAGGGAGATTGACCGAAGGTCTGTGTTTGCCTGGCTGCTCTCTTATCTTTGGAGTGAATCTGAAGAACCTAAGAAAAACTAAAATATAGAAAAATTAAGAAAGTCTATAAGAGTAATAGTAATAGTTAATAGTTATAACACTAATAATGCTAATAATCTATATAGTATATGAAACAAACATCAGCAAGCTCAAAAATCCTAATGAAACCTTTACATTAAAACAGTACGTAGAGCTAGTAAAAGATGCAAAAGCAAAAGGAATGAAATGGAATGGAAAACGTACAGTACTCCGCACAGGGAAGAAGCTTTAGATAGATTCTATTTACATGCAATAATAAATGTGTGGGTGCAAAAAGGATACTTTTTTAGAAAAAAAGCATTATGATTTTGAATCTTAGAAACTTCAAGGAGGTATTTCTTTTCTAAATCTATTGCTTAATAAAATATTCCCATTTCTATTTTCAATATACTGTACATGTATGAAGACAAACCCTGTCATATCCACGACAAATGTTCATACAGTAACTCGCTCATGAATTTGCTCATTGATATAGTGTACTTTTGCTTAGTTTGCAGTGATGTAAATCAATAGGCATGCAACAGTCGAAATGTTTTTGACACATCTTACCCTCATCCCCTCAAACCGTGACAGTGCCCTTAGAGGTCTCAGTGCTCTTAATGTCCTCAAGGATTTAATGGCAGTTAATTCTGAGTAGCCCAAAGCATTAGCTACTAAGCTGACCAAAGACACCTGCATGACGTGACAGCAAAAAAAAAAGCAATGATTAGAAAACAGCTTGAGGAAACTAATTAAAACTAATTATTGAGACAGTGAAGTGAAATATGTCACTTCTGTTGTTTACTATTGACATTTTTATTTCAGATCAATAGGTAAACATGAGGAAAATGTAACAGAATGTCAGATTTTATTTCTGGATATTTTTGTACATACATGTTAGAACATATTAGAGTCCCATGGTCAATCCCCAATTTCAGGCCTTCATACACTACTTATTGGGACAAATTGATTTAAAGTAATTTAAACTAGTATAAAGTTTGTATCTGGACACATAAGACTTATATGCAATGACTTGACATGTTCCTTTGACATGTTTTGTCAAGTATTAACTGCAGCCACTTTCAGTTGTCGCTTATTTCTGGGTTTTTCTGACTTTAGTGTTCTGTGTTCAAAGAATTTCAAAGAACATTTTCAAATACCAAGGAATACATACATCAACAATCAGGAAGTCCAACCAGCACCAGGCATTTGTGAAATATTTCACAAACCCATAGGCCACCCACTTCAGCAACATTTCCAAGATGAAGATGTAGGTAAAGACTTTATCGGCATATTCCAGCATAGTCTTAATTGTCTTCCTCTGCTCAATGTAAATATCTTCAAAAGCCTGTTAAAAATACAATCTCTTGTTAATGGTTTATGAATAATGCCCTGAGAAATTGGCATTGTCTTTCTCATGTTCACTGCATTTATTCATCCGTTCGAGTTAAAAAATAACATTTATAATATTATAAAATTCTGAAACAATTCTCTGATGTAATTGCAGCAATAAAACACTTGCCTAGACAGCATGGTCACAAATGGTTAGACTATGTTTTAAACTCATTTCAATTACACTGTTACTGTGTGATGTAAACTTTTTTTCAGCAAAAAAGTCATCAGTCTCCACAAAGATACAGTATGTTAGGTAAAACAGAAGGTTTTTCACATTTTTCAAATTCCTACTCTATATACTCTGTTGTAAGTAGTGGATACATTATTACTAGGTGTAATAAACTACAGGTAGGTCATTTTACTCTACAATAAATACCTGAGATGGACAAAAGTTCATCTGAATGTATCTTGCACATTTATTATAGGTCAAAATCTACTAAAAAAACAGCAAGATTTGTGCCGACATGTTTGGTAGACCATTAAACTACATTACTTCACAACCTGTCTTCAGCTCACATTAGAGCAGGCCTCTGATATGCCCCTCTATGTAATAGCAGTGACAGTGCAACTGCAGAGATACCTCATTGTTACTTTAGGTTACATGGGAAATCAATATATTAACATTAAACCAAAGTGGCATGCACTCATACTATAAGATCTGGTTACTTCTTTAGATGTGGGGGATTTAAAAAGGGGCTACCTTAATGCAATAAGAGTTGCACTCACCAATGCACCGCTGCTGAGGAGGATCATAAAGATAATGAACGTTTCAAACCAGTTGTGCTCGACGATCCTGAAGCATGTTTTTCGAAGGGTCCACCACTGCTTCCAATAGCCTTCCTCTATATTGACCTGACAAAACTGGAACTTCCGGACACATCCTAAAATAAAACATTAAAAAAACAGGTGTAGCTTATCTTCTGCAAAAAATGACCAAATAAGAATATTTCTGCATAATCTCGAAATTCAGTAGCTCTACATTTTTCCACTGCTTGTGACTGAAATACAAAGTGTCAGGTAGGAAATGATAGGGACAGACAAGAAGGTCCTACTTTGAAACTCTTCTGAGTGTAGATTGTTTTTGAATCCAAAGCCTATGTTCAGCTTTTCAGTTTTTTGAATTTTGCAGTCATTCAGCTGCACTCATGACTGCTCTCCCCTGGAGACACATCTAAAAGAAAATTGCTTATTTTGCAGACAGACACTCTCTGAGCAGTTGCTTTGGATTTGAAACAAAGTGTGAATACAGGACAAAAGAACCCCAACTACCAATCCAGGAAATAACATTTAATTAAGAATGAACAAGTAATATGGTTGTGTTTTATTCCATCTCTTCAAGTGTTATGTGTCCTCTATCATACCCAAGGGTGAGTACTAGTCAAAGCTTTACTGTTTATGTAAAAAACATCTTATGTCTCAGTATCCTAAATAACCAACTGAGCAAATATCCACCTCATTTGGATTACAAAATGTATTTAAAAATAAATGATGTCTATCTCCATTTGCCACTTGAATCATATCTTAACATTATCAGTACCTGAGTTCATACATTCCTCTAATAAGGGGCCTCATTAACTATGTGTGTCACATGAAACAGAAGTGATAAGAATGAAATTAAACACTGCTTAAATCCTACAACATTTTAAGTTCCAGCTAAAATGTGATTCTTTTGTACATTTAACTCAGTTTTCTAGTCAATATGTCTTACAGTATATTTGTCAACTTTATGGTTCATTAGTATGTACAGTATGTCAACATCTTCCAGGTAGCCATTAGATCTAATGTTTTAACAAGTAGAAGCTGACAAAATATTCCAGGTACCCACATCATTTCCTAATTTCACTTTCATTAGCCTGATTGACTAAACAACCAGATGGAGCTTTAACAGTGAAGTTCTGATATACTATAATATGTCTCCGTGTACAGTATTTTCTTTTTTTTGTAGCACACTCACCCATCCTTGTCAGACCCTTAACAACTTCATGAAATACATTTGTGTGCACATTGGGTACTACAACCACTCTTTAATGACCTTCTGTGTATAAAGCACATCATTTGTGGGTAACCTTAGGGATGACAGCTAACACTTGTTAACACTAGATGCTTGTAGAAAGAATCCAATTTCACACCATGTCATACCATGTCATTTAAATGCCCAAGACCTGTAAGGACTAGAATAGGTACAATAAGGCCCCCAGTGAAAACCAAACACTCTACAGTATATCAAAGTATCTTCAGGAGAAAATCCTACCAATGACAATGTTATGAAGTTGCTGAATGGTTGCTTGGATAACCGAGTCCTTCAACTTTAGACTAAAGTTGTTGTTAAAAGGCCAATAGGAATTTTTACATTTAATGGAATAGTATGGAAAGAAGGACAGAGACATGTTCACTAAAACAACGTGTCAGAGTGCGTTGAGGCACTTATCAAATATTAAACGAATGAACTTCTAAGAAACCTCATGTGAAAATTATTTAATCGTAAAGATTTGATAGAGATACTGCAGCAACATTACTGCTATCCTGTCAAACAAAACACTTCTGCCAGCAGCTGTGATTGACAAAATGTGTGAAAATCTATACTGTATACCTACTCTCCCAAAAATTGATACTATTTATATTGCATTCTTTAATGTTTACAAATATCACGTATCAATTTTAATCAAATCTGTTTATTAAAAAAGTGTCCTAATAAATTTATTTTTTTCATTCCCAGAAAAAAAAAAACAGGGGGGTTTGTCATAAATTGCAAAACATTAAAAGCATTTTAATCTCTGAAAAAAAAAAATGCTTCCATGGAAAGCAAATCACAGTTTCTCTGGTGACATTCAGTGCATCATGTATGTGGTATGTACAGTATTAGTTAATCACTGAAAGCAACACTTATACTACATAAGGCCTCATCATCTTTCATGCTACGGTAAGTGCTGTTGCATAAATCACTCTCAAGTGCCATCTGAGTTATTCTTAAAATAATGGCATATCATTTTTATGTTTGAGAGTCCAAAGAAAATCAGACATATTCATGGATCTAATCTCACATTATGTAATATCATCAATAGCAAATCTGAGTCTTTTCTAGGATATTATGACACAAGTGTAAATATTTCACACAGTTTGTTAAATTCTGCATTATAGAATTTACTTTCTAATAAAGTGTAATAGGCTTCCGTTTGATATCGAAGGGCTTATAATAATGCCACAAAACTTCTCTGGTTTACTTGCTGTACCACAAAACAAACTTACTGTACGAAGAAAGCAAATTTTAAAACAAGATGAAGTTGAAAAAGATTTACTTGCACCTTTCTTCATACCTACCTTCAGTGAAACAGGCTTCGGGTTCGAAAGATTCCTCAGGTTCAATTTCTATTGGCTCTCCCTCCCCAGGTGGCCTTATGTCTACAGTACTGCCTTCTGAAGAGCTGGACTGATCTAGTTTCTGAAAAAAGAATCCAGGACATAGCCATTACAGAAGAAATATTCGGCAGCACCTCATATACCTTTATCTCCTTGAAATCCGACGTATTTGATCTTCAAATTCATAACATTCGTTAATTTTGTGAAACAGCTGATGCACATTTCCTTCACAATAGGTAAGCTCACAGGGTTGGAATGTAATCAAGTTGGGCTTGTGCATTAGTCATACAGTTTCATGCAGAATCAATCAAAATACCTACAGACTTTACAATTGAGATGCACAACAATTTGGTCACTTAAATCAAATAAAGTAATCGTATCTTCTTTAAATTTAAAAAATGAAATGGCATCCAGCAGTGAGCTGTAGGTATAATTGATTTTACTAAAACTCCTTAGTCACAAGCTGTCTAGCATGCAGTATTAATGGTGCAGTATAATTCCAGTCCTGTGATCTAACCTATTGTAAGGTGTCCTTAAGTATTTTCATGTCTGTTGTGGATGAACCTTAATGGAGCAAAACAAAATTTACCCATTACACCAGATAATTGTAATGTATTGATTTTTCTCAGATGTTGCCTTCATTGACATGAAAACACACACTTTACTTCCATTCCTTTAAGCAATACTCAAACTTCAATCATTTTTAAAAAGGAGGGTATGTGCATTAGCTTCACAGCAAAAACCAGTACTGTACTCTTAGTCCAAGAATTTGTAAACTGATGTACATAATTTTAGTGGCAGATGGTTACGCATTCATGCCTGGATAATACAAAAGAAGAATCTTAAGAATTAAGATTTTGACAATAACACCTACAGCTGATGTAATACACACTAGAAAAGCAATCTACAAACCAAAGGAAAGTAATGTGTGCTTTAATACTACCAGAAATTCTCTAAAAATCAGAGATTATACTGGGAACATATCGTTTAACAGCAATAGGAAAACAAATAAAAGGAAATGTGGTCTTTTGTGGAGAAAGAGAATGTAAACAGTTATCTTTTCAATTGTGTCAGGTGTATACAAATATTTTTCTCCTTCACTGTACTAATTTGTCTTTTTTACCATTGAGTGCTTGCCTTATTAAAGTGGCTTTATTGCAGAACTTGCTCACAGAGCTAGCTGAGTCTAAGGGAAACTCAAGAAGAGACATTAATGTTAATGTAGTTCTCCTTCATTTCAGCACATCAGTCCTTGCAGGTCAGATCAATGTGACTGCTAGGGTCACTGTCTTGAATATTTGCAGATACTTCAGTTTAACACAGGAATAAGATTGCCCTTAGCGACTGGTTCAAAAATAAAAAGGAGTAGTTTACTTAAAAAAGAAGGATAATCTTGAAAATTGATGTGAGCTGATATAAAAAAGAAATTCTTTCTGAGTTAACAATAACCCACCCTCATTTGAACATCATAATAAGACAATTACTTTTCTAGTGTCCAGAACATATGGAATTTACTACTTTGCTGCACGTTTTAAAAGGGCAGGTATGTGCATTAACTGATACTAAAAGGACTAAACACTATTAGAAGTAGTGTAACAGTAATGGCTGCTGAGATAAACAGCTAATGCAGAATGGGGAATGATGTAAGCATACTAAAAGTAAAGTGTAGACTGAACTAAATACTATTCTCAAAAAAATTGTATCGTACTTCTTGTTATAACCATCTACCTCTGAATGAATTTTGCTTAGTTAGTCTTAAATTAAATAATCACATAGCTCTCATAAAACATGGTAGCTTAATTACCAGGGATTCAAAAAATTCTCTGCACAGATACAGAGACTGGTTTGAAACATGAAAACAACTAATGCAGTCTAACCAAAAGACGCATTCAGTAGGTTGAAAATAAGCAGTATGTGTTAATGTTACGCTATTAGTGCATTATTGTTATTACTGTTTTTGTTAGTGTAGGTCTTGTTTGAATCCCTGTTAATAATAAGCATACTTCTAATTGAGAAGAAAATGTAACCTTATAATTAATGCAGGTTTCTGAGTTCTGTGAACTTAAAAGGGTCTGCTTTCATCATTCCATAATGAATAGCATTTATAAATGAAAAAGCCATAATCATGTTTAGGCAATGAACCAAATGAATTTTGACATACTAAAGCAAAATCCATTTCACTGAATCAGTCTGACTTTTCAAGCTTTACAGTAGGTGCCCACTGTCTACTAAACAATCAAACTGAAAACAAAAATGTCAGAATAAAAGAATGGGCTTTTACTATTGGTGAAAAAGGTGGAAGGGCTCATTCATTGGTTATCTTTTTTTGCGAAAAAGCTTATGTTAAACAAAAAGTAAAAGAAAATTTGGGGTTCCAGCATCAGAACTGCTGCTTAACTAAGGAAAAAAGGAACTAGAACATGATCAGGCAGATAGAAAGAAAATCAGCAATCCTTTATTTTTTTTTTCCTTAAATGGCACTGGCAATCTGCATGGTTAGTGTTACAGTATGTACAATAAATTGGTCTTACAAGTCTCCTCTCATTGAAAATCTGGGGTGCTTCTTGAAATCAGCTGCAATAATAACCAGATAAGTTAAGCTAGGTAAGGCTCATACAGTACTCAAATGATCACATACAGACCTTTATGTTTTCGTTTATCAGCAACTTGTCAGAGAAAATACATCTAAAAGAAAAAAAGCTCTTCTGTGAAAAAAAAAAGCTTTCTGTTGTCAATGTACTGTATTCTGATGACCCAATCACATCAAATAACCGGCTGATGATAGCCATACTGGTGAAGAACATACATATACTCCACAGGGGCTGGAAAATGTCATGATTCCATATCTCATATTCAGTATACTGTATATTCCATCAATATTCATGCAAACTTTAAAATGTTTTTAAATGGCAACATCAGGTACTGAAACCATCTCATTTTAAAATGTAAAATGTCATTTTTAAGCAAAAAGGTCACACAGGTCTGAATGCAACAGAAGTACAGTTACACATAAAATAAAGCACTTCTTGTTAGATGTTTGCAGACAGGAAAAGAATGACCTACACACACTTGATAAAAGAGTATTAATCATACAGTCCATTGATTCTGTCTTTAGATGCTCATGTGAACTCATCCGAAGGCCCAGATTAAAGTCTGGATTATTGAAAAGAGAACCCACCACCTATTTGGGGATTATTTTACCAGAATTGAATGGCAGACTTTCTTTGTGAAGAAACAGGAAGCCTTTGCCAAATATGTTGCCTTTAATGACCATCTTAGAAGTTTATAACTGGCAAAAGGGTCAATATTTATATAACTAAACCAAAATGTCAGACATCCCTTAATACCAGTTTATGTAATATATTTTCATTTCTTCCACTCTGCCCTCCCAAAGATAAAATGCTTAATTAATAAGTGAACTTTGTTTTTTTATTGGTGGATGTATACAAGTTTTAATTTAGTCCAAGATAAATTCTTCGTCTTAGATGCATACTGTACAAGCACTGTAATTGTAAATACTGTAATTATATTGTGAAACCTATAAATTGAATAAATAATGTAAAAATGAGGCTAAATAACGTCCGAATACACACACCCTTACAATGTTCACTAGAACACATGCTTAGTTACTTTCTATTCCCATCCCAAATTAGGCATATAATCAGTTCATTTTAATGACTAATGTAGGTCTGCAGAGTCAAAGTCAATACTATTTCAAAACATACAGTATACATGTAGAAGGTTATGGCTGGCATATTTAAATCAATCCATTACGTTTGCCATGCATGTTTATGTAACATATTTTCACTTTTTATTCCCCACCTGAAAATACCAATTTTAAAAACAAGCCAAATTCTAATGAATTAAGTTTTATATTTCAATTAACATTAAATGAATATGTTTTAGAAAACTAACCAAGAAAAGTAAACAAGCTGAACTATTGTTTCAAAAATATGTCCATGATACATACTGTATGCGTACCATCTACTGATTTTGTTTTAAAATACTTAAATCAAAGCAAATGGATTGAAGCATTTAATGTCAACAAATACCTAATAAGTTCTGAAAATTACCATTTTGAGCTCCTAGAAAATCCACAGAAACATATTATGGCATCTTTCCCACCCTCAACATCTTAGAATGAATTTTTTTTCAAGTAGTAAATAAAAGTGTGATGAGTCTTGTGGATTATGATAATACAGTTGTACAAATCACGGTGTTTAAACACAATTCATAAATCAAGTTAAAAGGAGGAATGATCAGGCCACGGTTTTTTAATAAATACAGTACAATACTAAACAGGATTAATTTAATTCAGGATTACTTTAATTTAATGCTGAGACATTGTTCAACTTTTTTTGGGGAAAAGGTGACAGCAACGTGTGATGTTTCCAAGTTGTGCAGTTTTTATTTAGAATATACACAAGGATTGGAAGACGTTATTGGATAGGTCACATCACCTTACATTTGTAGAAAATACATATAGTTTCACATATCCTTTCACTAAAAAAGAAAGTTTTTGAAACACTATCCAGTGAAAGTGGTGAAATTCAGAACAGCTGTAATAACTATGCTATTAAATACAATTGTTGAAATTCCACAGATATTTATATCCTAAATATCAATAAATATTCTTCTTAAGTCTCGTGGAAGAGAGGAGCACAAGGATATCATTAGGACAGAAAAATTAAACGAGCCTCCAAAGAAATGATCAACTGTTGCTACAGTAGAATCATCTATTATGGCTATATTCCCTATTGATATTGTCTCCGTTTAACTATTTTCCCTGAAAAAGCAGTGTCTTCATTAGGGTGACCTTTCACTATGGTTTTAGTATAGAGTTGTAAGAGGAGCAAAATGGATACAAACCAATGACTTAAACTCAGAAGCACAGTCACTAATATATCAAATGATTTCATATGTTTAGAAGCTTGATGACTAGCAAATACAGTAATACTTTGAGATGGATATGAATATTTTTCGTCTTTTGTTCTGTTCAAGAAATGCTGACAATGGTTAAAACCATGTTAACCCTATACCGTAATTACAATACACATCCCAGCTTGGCCAGTACAGTATGTCTTTGGGAGCTAGGAATAAACTAGCACGTGGGAAAAACTCCAAAACAAGGAGGGGCATGAAGACCCTCAGAATCAGAATCTAATCCAAGAACCTGGAGGAGCAAGGGAACAGTGCTCTTTGCCATTCCACCATGGGTGTATTTAGGCTCAATTTATCAAATCGATATACTGTATGACCAAGAAGCTCCATTTGTTTTTTTCTAATCACTCCATTATTCACAATAAGGTTATAATAATGAGATTCTCTTTCTTGCAACATAGAATTTCAACAATTAACCTCACAGGAACTTGAGCCAGTAAGTGATCTAAGATTTTACAATTACATTTTACAGTCTCATATTTTTGAGAATTGCTTTAAAAAGCTTTAAAATGAACTTTGTACCTACATCACTTTCTAGCTATTAATTAATTGTTTTTATTGCAATAAGATAAGAAACAGGAATAAGAAAAAAATAAAGTTTGTTATTTTGTAGGCGAGACACTTCGGTATTTAATTTGGATTTAAATGTAATTGACGTGTGTTGGAGTGTGGAGTGAATAATACTGAAGTTTAAAATGTACATAATTTTCATGTATTCACAAATATTGTTTTTAGAGACTGTTTATCTTGCCTTTGGAGTAGCCATTAAGAAAGCCCATATTGCATTGCTTTCTCAAAAAAAATCTTAAACTGATCTTCACAAGGTAGATTCTCTCCTTATTCCAAAACGGATTCTGTTTGAAAGGCTCTTGAAACCTCTTTATGGAGTTTCATTTCTAGTTAGTGTTGTGGCATTGAAAAATACTTTAACTCTGCACTATTTTTTATTATACAATAAATACCTCCCGTGACTGCAAGTATTGACATTGATTAAGGAAACTTAATCAATAAAATATTAAATAGAATTTAATTAAAAATGTGCAAGATGTTAAAAAATAAAGCTATTTATTCACGTTGATGAATTTTATCTTTATAGATTTACTTTTAAAGTATAAGTTTATAAGTAGCATGTTTACAACAAAATTAAATTTATTTAAAATAGCATATGATGATGCTGTTTTTTATGACTTTTGTAGTAAATATCTACATTTTGAGACTTCCTATAGATTACAAATTTGTGATAAACATCCTCATTTGAAACAGTCAAAGTTTTAATCCTCATTTTGAGGATGCAGTAGAGTGTGTTATCTCTAAAAGGAAGTACTGAAAATATGCTAGTTTTGGTAGGTGATTTTTCTAACAGTTGTATTGTCATTTGAAGTTTCTCTGTCCCACAAACTATTATCCTAAATTTTTCTTTATCCAAATATTTAAAAAATAAAAATTAAATATTAGATAATAAAGTTCTGAAACACTTCCCTAGTGCATTCAGGATAAGTTCCACTACATGTAGAATGGTTAAAATTTATTTTTAATACCTACAGGTATGTGATTTAGTTGAAAGAACATTTTTAAAACTGTCATCAATTTACATAAGAAACATACAGTGCCGTATTCTGCACTGATGCATATATAACTACACAACCACACATGATTCTGAAATTATACACCCTGCTTGCCTTCGGTTATAATGCTGAATTTAACAGAGCTGTCTACAGGCACATTTCAGCTTTATTCAGCAGCCTGCTCACTGAGCTATACAAAATAAATTAGGCTGTTATGATCTAATGCGAATATTCAACTGGCTACCTGTTTTCTTGATTGTGTTGCATTATTTTCTTCTCGGTGTTCATTAAAAAAATCTGTTAAGCATTGTCATTACCTCAACATGTTTTTGTCAGCTTTAATTTCAGGGGCCCTGCCTGTTTCCTAAATTAGCACACAGTGGCATAATAAACATGGCCAGGAACATGTTTGTCTTCAGAGGATACAAAAGGAAAACATTCCAATAAGCAGCATACACAAAAATACAAAAGTTACAGGATGGCAAAGATACAAAACACTCTATAAGTCAGAAAATCTAGCAGCCTATAAATGTTGTACAACCTAATAAACTATAAAAAGCTAAAATCTTAAATCTAATGCAAATACTGATATTTTGACACCAACAGATAAAATAATCTTCAGTTATATAAAGTAACAATAAAACTAATATACAGTATTAAAATAACACCTATTATCCACAGCAACAATAACCAGTATTTTATGTTCACCCCACATAGTGCTGATTCTGTTTTTGTTTAGTTTCTCGGTGCAGAACCAGACTCAATGCTAAATGCATTTACAGAAATTAACAGAGCAGAGACAGAATAAAAAGTGTTCCTACCTCTTTGCTGCCTTCTATGTCTGATTCACTGCTGAAGTCCTCCGTGTTGAGGTTTTCAAAGTCAGACTCACCCACAGCAATAGGCACTGTAACTGTGAGGCTGGGATTGTGTATGAAAGACATATAATCACTCTCATCGATCACGTATTTTCCCACACTGCTGCCTATTCCACTGGTTGTTCCATTGCCATCCTTGTGGTATTCTGGCTCCTTGGTTAATTCAACAGTGGTGTGATTTGAAATGCAGGCCTCTTTTTTGTTGTTGAGGTCTTCGAGGGGTTTGATCTCATCCAGAACTTTCTTCCTCCTCACACACAATTTCTGGACAGACTCTCGCAGGTTGCCTTTAATGTAGTCAACGCCTCTGTGGATCCGTCCCACAGCAATCTGCAAGTTGTTCATCTCACTGTCATCATCCGTAGCTGCCAGATTATCAGCACTGAATGAACTCAGCAGCAGAGCCAGGAACAAATTAAGTACCTGAGAATAAAACACAATATAAAGCCATGATCTGTAGCACTGTGGGAGAACAGTATGTTATGAAAATAACATGTTACTGTGTGTATTGGAAAAATAATCAATAATGTGCAGTAGAAGCACAACTTTAAAGTTAGATATCCATTCTATAAAAACGCTATTATAGATAGCGCAAAGAGTCCAGCAGGTGATCAGCCTATTTACTCATGCTAAAGGAATGTACTAGATTACAGATCCATCCATTTTCTAACCATGACTTCCAATTTATGGTCACTGGGAATCAAGAGCCTATTCGAGCAAGCAATGGGCACAAGGAAAGTTTCACCCTAGACGGGACGCCAGTCCATCACAAGGCACACACACTCACACCAGGGCCAACTTTCCTAGAAGCCAATTAACCTACAAGTATGTCTTTGGACTGTGGGAGGAAACCAGAGCACCCAGAGGAAACCCATGCAAACAAGGGGAGAACATAAAAACTCCACACAGATAGAACCTCAGGTCCAAAATTGAACCCAGGACCCCATCACTGTGAGGCAGCAATGATAACCACTGAGGAACCATGCCACGCCTGTAATAAATCACTTTAATTTATGTTCCACATAAACATTAAAAATCCAAATAAATAAATATTACAGAAAAACCAAGAAAAAACCATTGTGTTTTTAAGTCTACTTAGGGAAGACTTGATTTTAACAGTTATGAGACATTTTCTCCAACAGCAGTGAATCATATCAATTCAAAAGTTCCCTGCTAATTCTAATCTACAAACCTTTTAATTTTGTTTAATATTATACTACTTTATAGGTGGAGTTGGAGGTTTATTAAAGGAGGTTCGAGTCAACTAATTTATCTTGATTTTTATGATTTTTCACCTATACACCTATAATTTCTTCTTATAGCCCATTGCTTTCCTATACTTAACTTGTTGGTAATGGGAAATGCTGGAGGAACCAGGAAACTTACCACAAGATTCCCAATCACCATGACCATCATGAACACAATGAGACACATGCTCTGACCAGCTACTTCCATGCAGTCCCACATGGTCTCAATCCACTCGCCACACAGGACCCGAAACACAATCAGGAAGGAATGGAAAAAGTCAAACATGTGCCAGCGAGGAAGCGTGCAGTCTTCTGAGATCTTGCAGACGCAGTCTCTGTAGCTCTTGCCAAACAGCTGCATTCCCACCACAGCGAAGATGAAAACGATGATGGCAAGAACCAAGGTGAGATTTCCCAGTGCACCCACAGAGTTGCCAATGATCTTGATGAGCATATTAAGCGTTGGCCAGGACTTGGCTAATTTAAACACTCTCAGCTGAAACGAAAGAAGCTTGATTAATATTACAATAGAGTTTGTATTGTATGTGTTCGGATTTAATCTAGTTTTTGGGGATTAGGGATAGAGCTGGGTTACAGTTCTCAATACTAACAGTACTATAATATAGTCTGGAGTACACAGCCCTAAACACTACTGTGCTCTTCTAACTCCATTGTGGTTTCTTCAAGAAATTAAGTCTAGGCTGGGGTCTCATTTGAAGAAAGTGATAGGCAAAGCTTAGATTTGGTGCTAGATTTAAGATGAGTCTAGGGATGGACATACAGTTAAGGGTTACAATTAGGAATACGGTTAGGGTTGTGTTTATTTTTATTGTCTTTATGTTAAGCATGGTTAAAAACATTGCTTTATTATGATATGAGGATAGGCTGACTTTAGATTGAATTATGTATGGGTAAGGCTTTGACTTAGTTCAAGGATAAAGGAAAAATTGCAGATGCTTTGACTGTGAAAAGATACAAAAAAAACATGGAAACACACTTACCAGCCTGAAAGATCTGAGAACAGACAATCCCTCGACATTTGCCAACCCAAGCTCCATTAAACTAAGGCTCACAATGAAACCATCAAAAATATTCCAGCCTTCTTGGAAGTAATAGTAAGGATCCATAGCAATGACTTTAAAAAACATTTCAGCAGTGAAGATTCCAGTAAATACCTAGAATATCAATTTAAGTTTAAAAATATACAGTGAGCAGAAAGTTAAAACCTCCCCCTACCCCCAACAAGCTCAATAATAAAAACCTGAATACACCTTACACTATATAAATATATTAGATTTGCAAATTATGTTTTTACATTTTACAAAACTAATTTGTTTCAGACTTTGAGGAGAATGCATCATTTAATATATTTAAGCTATATGTGAGACATGAAATACTTAAATGTTTAATCATTAAGCATCTTTAACTTGCAATTTATGCATTTGGAATGTGACTGAAGATAACCAGCTTTATTTAAATAATGTCAGGTATTCTCTGGGTGGAAGGAAAGCATAAACCACCATCAAGTACTCAGATTGTAATTGTTAATATACAGGCAAGTCAAAGATCTGATCCAGGCTGAAGTCTTTGTTGTAAGACAAACCCTTTGTTTCAGGATTTATTGGGTGGTCAGATTCTGCTACCAGCAAGTACTATTAATGAATCTTTATCAGGCTCCAGATGGCACTGTGTGTATTAATTAATTGTTTCTTATAAAAGCATTTTATAAGTATGATGGCCAGGTACATTTTACTTAACCTAAAGCTGCCTTTTGCCATAGCATCAAATTCAGAAAAAAAATTCTGAACACTATTTTCATTTTAAGTACAGTACATCTACTACAGTATATTTAACACAGCAATCAGTACATAATCTTCCTGAAAACATGTTTTCCAGCAGCACTTTAAATTTGTACTTTAAATCAATGGACTACATTTTTCATTCTAATTGTTCAGGATGATATACTTATTTATGTACTATCTTTGCATACAACTTATCAATTTTACTCATAACACAAAAGTGTAACAGTTAAATAAATACAATTCTGTTGTACATACCAAATTCCCTACTGATAGCACATGGTTAAACTCCTTTGTCATAGGATAATGTTCCATTGCCATGAACAGTGTATTCAGAACAATGCAAATAGTAATTGCAAGGTCGACAAATGGGTCCATCACAACAAGATTGACTATCTCTTTGATTTTAAGCCACTGTGGACAGCAATCCCAGATTAGGTAAGTGTTAGCAAATTTATACCAGCATGGCGGGCATTTTTGTCTTGATTCTTCCAGTTCTGAAACAGTTCAAAACAAGCAAATGTATTATGGAGCTGAAGCATAATTTTGAATTAAAAAATTACCTGAGCTTTAACATTATTGGACATATTCTTAGACTGATACATCAGAAGACCATAAAAAAACATACTGTAAAAGTAAGCTGAATAAAACAAATCGTAACTGAAAATCTATATTTTCTTATCTTTACTTAAGTGATTGCCAACTATACTGTATTACTTCAGCTAGAAGTAAAAACACAACTACACTCATAATAAAATGGAATACAGGCTTATGAATTTAAGTGGATATTTTTACATTTATGAGTTACACAATACATACCTTCCATTGTGTTTGTTAATATACTTGCAACACTAAGAGCTCTTTGTCTTATTGATGGGTCTTCCAAATAGTCCATTGATGCTTGGTGAGATCCAGATCTTTTTTTCTTTATTTCTGTTTCAGTTGTGGTGGTGGCCTGTAAGTAATTTAACATAATTAAATCTCTTCAGGCAAATAAATTAATGACTTGTTTAAATTGTTACTTGTAATAACATCATGGATATATTAATAATGATACAAAACTACCTCAAGATTTATTTTTACAACATTAATTTTAAAACACTTCTTAAAATTCCCTGTCTTTAATTATTTTCCCAACATGAAGATCATCTATAGCTGGCCTTTTAAACTTACTGCTTTATATTTTTGTGGAGTGACAAGAGATAATATCTAATTGCCTGAGTCACTTAATTACTACACAATGGCAATAATTTCCATATTTCAGTTACCTGAAAAACAAATGTTATCATTACATTTCATAGATAACTGATTTCAAACTACTTATTTTGTGACTCACAACATATGAAAGTATTACCTATACTCACTGGCCAAGAGACCTATAAAATATTGTTATTCTGGTCTGTATTCCAACAGAAATAAACTGGTTTTCCATTACAATTGCCAAGAGTTTGAGGAAGACAAGACTACTTAAATACATGTTTTATTAGGAAAAAAAAAGGCATTTGGCAGCACACAAGCTCTCAAATCAAAGCTAAGTTTTCCTTCTTTTGTTAAAGGTAGCTGCCATATCTTTACAGTGATCACCTCTGGAAGAAGGAGTCCAACAGGTGATGTAGGCACTGATGGTCCACCCACCAGTGACACCACACCGTTGCAGTCCACAGTACAGTGCATCTTTCCGTTTGCCGGAAGTAGAACCCGTGATGACCTGCTGTTCTGACTTATGTTGCTGTTCCGTCTCTCCTGGCGACGCGGCACAAAGAGCGAGCCTCTTCTGCTGTCGTTGTCTTCAAAGGTGCTGTGCTCATCGTCTGCAAAATCATTCTCAGAGCCCACATCCCTTGCTCGCCCCCTGAAGCTGAAGAGGCTTGCTCTGCTGTTGCGTCTGGGAGAGAACAAGGACCCTCGCATACTGAGGAGTGACTACAAAAGATATGAAGAATGTGCCGTCAAGCCATCTGTTACACAAATTTCATCCACTGAAAAGTTTACATCATCTGATTGATCAACTACCAGAGGACACCACCATTTTCACAGCTTTTTTCACAATGCTTCTGCTCATATATGGTTCATTTGGGCTACTTGCAGCTCTGCCCCTGCCAGTACATAGTACACAGTCTCTTAGGAACCTCCTGGATTTGAGCCAAACAGGATCTTGTTAGACAGCAGTGAATTCTGGCCACTGGAGAATACAACATTAACTTCCTATGGTATTATGTCACCTTGTAACAGTCTCAAGGAGCCCTGTTACACATGATTACAGTACTGGCTCAAATTTGGTTGATTTTTTAGAATTAGTGTAATGGCAAATCACTTCTTTCTTGATTAAAAAACTCACCTGGTGCGGGGAAGAATATCTCTTTTCATAAGACAGCCTGTTGCCATCGATTGAAATCCCAAAAACTCTTCTCTTGGTGATGCTGTCTTCTGACTCGGATTTGTGAAACTTCTCGTTGTCCCCTTTCTCCTCTTCCTCGTCTTTCTGCCTCCTCTTCTTCCGCCGGTTCCGCCTCTCTTTGGCACTCTTGGAGCTGAGTTTGGAGGCCTCAGACGAAGTCTCAGTCAGGCCGCCTCCCCCACTGTACTCCCCACTCTCAGCGGCTGCAGCTGCGGCGGCCTGCCAATTATGGCCAACAGGCTGAGGTAAACACCGGCGCGCATTCTCAATGGCATAACAATAGCATCCAGAAAGCTCTGCTTCAATACAAAAGACCAATTACCAGCACGGAGCCCTTTTTGTAAAATGAGGAGCTAATGAGTTTTCACACAGGAGCCAGCAAGGAAGAGAGCCCTCAGCACTAGCGGAAACCCGGTATGTTTTGACGTATGAGTGTAAAAATGTCACGGTAAAAGGAAACGAAAACTTGGACAAATGAATGAAAAATCTAAAAAATCTTTGGTCATCCTTTCAGGTATTACAACACAGACAGGGATAAGTTAAACGGGTTCAGTTAACACCTTCGTGAAGCAAATCACGAAGCAATCAGAGCACAGCTAGAATGAAAACTGAAAAGTACTGTACTAGGTCATACGTCACTCTGTCAGCATAACACTCATATGTCCATTTATAAATGCCTATCAGACATTTTAGGTAAAATCTGCACTGCTGTTCACTAAAAAAGGTCATGCCTTTGAAGTGGCAGGCCAGTAGGTGGCACTCTCCCATCTACAGCAGAATTTAAAAAAAGGAATGCCCCTGTATGGTGACCTCTAAGTGGTGCTGTCCTTCAGATGAGTTAAAGAGCTTTGAGACCCTTTGGTTAAGCTATATAAAAGCAATTGATAATACCTATTACACTTTACTAATAAGATCATTAACATCCAGAGTTATAATGTCCATTTCTGGACCAAACATAATTACTTCTGGAAATTATAAAAAAACCTAAAGGAGAGCTTTCTTAAAACAAGCCTGGTATGCCAAAGCATAATCTGTTATGTACCCTATTAAGGGACAAATCAATTAACTATACACAAGGTGGGTAGCTGCGTCAGCATGCGTAGGCTGCAAAGGAACAAGTAATAGGTTTATTCCATGCTGAAAAAAAGAAGAAAGAGAACACAACGTTTCGGCCGTGGAGCCTTCTTCACACCTGAAGAAGGCTCCACGGCCGAAACGTTGTGTTCTCTTTCTTCTTTTTTTCAGCATGGAATAAACCTATTACTTGTAACTATACACAAGACTGGTTATCGGCTTCAGCTTCTCAAGAAGAGTTTGTGAAGACCAATGCCTTGGTATGATGACCTGGGACATTGTGAAGTGAAAGGTGCCATTTTGTTTGGCCCTATTGAAAAATCCCTCACTGGCTTGTCTTTCAGTATTACTACCCAGCAATTTGATTGTTTTGTTTATAATTTTTCAATCTTTTGAGCTATCCTTCTCTAGTGCAGTGGGTGTATGGAACTGAGGAGCTAAAGTAAAATATAAATGGATTCTCAAAAATGACTTTTCAGCTAGTCTAAGGTAACTCACATATATGTGGTTTTGTTAAATATGTGGTTTTGTTGGGGCTAATCGAAGTAATGCACATCAAGTCTCTAAAATACATTTTATTAGTGATTTCACCTTAAAAAACAAAAATGTTTATGAACAGTTTCCTATAAATTCAGAATTAGAAATGCATCAAAAAGCTTGAAGTCACAGATACCTGGGCACCTTCTTGCTGTTTCTTCAGCTGCTCAAGCATTGCTTGAAATTCTGCTTCCTTCTGTTCAGCCTCTTCCATTGTGGCCTGGTTTTGCTCCTCATATGCCATAGCAACGACAGCCAGGATCAAGTTCACAAGGTAGAAAGACCCCAGGAAGATCACAAGCACAAAGAAAATCATGTATGTTTTCCCAGCAGCTCGCAGTGTCTGAAAAACAACATATTGAATTAGGCTTTTTATATCTTTACCATCTACCTTGTCTTTCTCACACCTGAAGAAGGCTCCATAGCAGAAACACTGTGTTTCCTTTCTTCTCTTTTCAGCGTGGAATAAACCATCGAATTAGACTATTAGACAACAAGTATTGAATTAGACTGTGTGCATAGTAAGGCACTGCAGATTAATTTGATTAAATGATTTAGCATGTAAACTTTCCACACTTAGTTGGTGATCATGCGTTTGACCATGTCCGTTTCATTTCTAAATCTAATGAATGGCTAAGAACATTTTTCTGGAGATTTTCTGTAAGCTGTAAGCATGATATATTACCACTGTGAAAGAACACAGCTACTTAACAATCCTAACAGAGATTGTTATGTAGATCTTTTGGAAAGGCAGTCCAGCACCAAAGAAATGTATTAAACTTTTTTACTAAAACTTTTTTTGAAAAGTTCTAAAACCAAAGGGTACAAACAATCCAAGAAAATGTCCAGATTTAAATTCATAGTCCAGTTTATTGGGGAATCAAAATCCTTATCAAATGTCCTCTTAACCTCATATTAAATGTTTACTCTTCCAACATGCGTGGTAAAGAGTTTCTTAACTATTAATTAACTCTGTTGTGTCACAGCACTTGCTTTTGGGACCTTAACTTTAGTTTTGACTTTTCATGCAGAAATGCAGAATTAATGCAGAAAAAATGCAGAATTAGAAGTCAAAAGATGGTTCTGTCTCCCAATCAAGAGGTAATTCATATTCACGGTTCATATCGACTGCATGATCTTTAAAAGTCAATAAAACACTGGATGGTGTTCTTTGTAATATACATATAATTTATAAGTTTGGGAAATTATACATGCTCATGAAATTATGTGACACAACACCAGATCATGACAATTTAATATTTTACTGTACTCACTATTTCAGCAGATTTTAAATGAAAGTTTTAGAATTTAACTTATTGGTGGCTAATTTAATATGAAAAAGGCTTTGTAATGTTCAGTCTTTTCACTTGGTTCTGCTGTTGCTGTCCTAGTTTATGTACATATAAGGAGATGTTCTGAGAATGAATGAACTCTAGAGTTTTCCTCTGAAAGTCATCCAATCTTCTTTCCTCTAGAGAGTTTTCCTCTGAAAGTCATCTATTCCTCTTTGATAATTTATTATCATTTGAGACTTGCCACATCTTTTTCCTGAGACTAATAAGCTTATGTTGCTATGCTCACAGCAGAACAAAGGCAATGAGAGTGGCAGAGAACTTCCATTACAAACTTAAATTTGTCCTAAAAATGCCCCCACTGTTACCTACAGCCAATATAAATCTACTTTAGGGTGCTTGATCTAATGTTCATATTAGAAAATTCAGATATTTTGTCTTAATTACAGACTTATGAATGTTTGTGGTTATACAGTATAATCATTCCCGACATGGGTCTGAAATCTAACAGAAATATTTCTTTCAAGAACAAGACAACACTCTCGCTCTGTTGTTAACAAGGGCCCTCATTCGAGTCCAGACTCTTAATCTACTGCAAAACAAACATTTTTAAAACCACAACTTGCGAACAGTTTGACCAGATGGAACACAAAGAAAACACATAATTTATTATTAAAAGAAAATCATGTTGTAATGCTCACATGTGCCAGATAATTCCAAGGTGGGTGAGAGGAGCATGTTTTTGGCATAAAGATCACATTATTATGTACTGTAAACGTACTGAAATTACTTGTTGTAGCATACCAATTATGTTTTAAGACTTTACAAAGTTTTAATAAAGCACTGTACAAGACCGTCAAGAATGATCAGATGGCCTCAACTATTTTACGAGAAACAATTCACACCACACTGAATTGTGTATCTACAGGCATTACATTTCTCTATTTTACAACATGAAAAGTAGATGCCACTGCCTACCCTTTTATTAAATTATTATTTTTACATCTCACATGGCACTGGTTTATGAAATGTCACACCAATACAGACAAAGACAAAACGCACAGAACCACATTTAAAATAAGAAACTTTTAAAGGACTATATACTGTACACTATATTACATTTGGGATCATTTTTCCATAAAATCTACAAACCATACACAAACAAAATCCTAAAATGTTAGTTAATGCTAATCATAATTGAACAAAATGATAAGACACTGACCTGCTGATACAGATTTTCCCAGAAGTCTTGAGTCATCAGCCGAAACAGAGATAAGAATGCCCAGCTAAAAGTATCAAAACTTGTATATCCATAGTCTGGATTTTGGCCACCTTTTATGCATGTGTAGCCCTCTGGGCATTGCCTGTAATAGCAATAACTCAATTTAAAGCATCTTTCCATTAAATAAGCTTTGTCAAAAGCACAAAACATACTTTAATACTAATAATTCGATAAAAAGCTTAAGGAAATAGTACATTACCTTTAAACTTCTGTATTATTCACTAAACATACAAAGGAATTAACAATCATCATAATCTCTTATAACATGAAAGACAAGCAAACGTTAAAACTAAATCCAATACTACAAATCACAATGCAAAGCAGAAATGTATGGAGAGAAAACAACGGAGGTACTTTTTTAAAGTGAAGATCCTGAAAATCATTAACAATAACATGAGGTACATTTCACACTATTATCAAGTCAGAAGACCCATCTCTAAAATTGTAGATCGCTTGTGTCACATACTGGATCAATCAAGTACATGTTAAAGGGTGGTTAATTACTTACATTCTAAGTTGCAAGAGTAAGAAGCTCATATAATTTTAACCTTATCATGAATAATGGAGTGATTAATAAGATAATACATTTGGTTCTGGGTTATACATGTATATTCATGTACAGCATTCATTTGAATCATTAAGCTTAATGGCCCAATGATGTGTGGCATAAAGGTTAGGTCCTGAATTTGATTTTGGTCTAGGGTGCCGTCTGTGCGGATTTTGGACTGTCCCTGTGTCTGCCAGATTTCACATTTTGCGCTCCTACCTTCGAAACCAGTGGGTCTTAACCTTTCCTGCCAGCCTGCACTTCTTTGGTTCTCAAAATATGTTCTGGCACCCCTTATCAAAGATTTATGAAGAAATTTGTGTTTTTGACGATTTACCTTCTAAAAACACCTAGCATGGCTCTCACTTCCAGGGAGTGTACACACCCCTGGTTAAGAACCACTGATCGAGAGGCATGCTGGCAAGATCAAGTGATATTTCTAAACTGTCCCTGTGTGTGTAATTTGTACCCTGTGATGGACTGACTTTCCATCTAAAGTCTAGCCGTGCCTTGTGCCCTAGGATTCTGGGATAGGCTCCAGGTTTCCGTAACCCTTAACAGGATTAAGCACCTTTCTGATAATGGATGAACGGTCCCAATCATCTATACATAAAAAAACATTCTGAAAACCGTACAGGTGTCTTACCCTGCATCACTGCCATTTCCACAAAGTAGTGCATCCCTACGACCTGGCAAGAAATAATAGTTATCTAGAGAGAAGAGAAGAAGAAAGTTAAATGAGTAAAAAATACTCTATTTTAATTGTTTAGTCTTGTCTCTGGAGTAAACAGTACCAAATCGTTATTGACTGTTTTTTTTAAATACATGACTGGAGACCCTACAGTATTTGAAAAAATGCCTATCTATTCAAAGAACAAGAGTCTAGTAAGACTTTGTTTTACAAAATATTTATCTTATTTTAAGCAGAGAGTATGTTACACCAGACAGCACAATTACAACTGATGACTCTCTGTATTAAATAATTTGTAATGCAAAGACAAAAGACAAAGAAAACGGTGTTTATAAAAGCAATATATTTGTCCTTCACCTTTATGTAGCTATATTGGGTGCAAGCTGTAATAGTCAATAGTGAGTGCAGCACCAGCACAATCAACCTGAGTCACTTTATCTATTGAATTCATTTTGTATAGTCTTAATTTTTTATTTATGGATTTGCAGAATATTTCTACTTTTAAATTATGACACAGCACTTTCGTTACACCTATATACAGCACTTGAATCACAAACAGATGGCTTTGTAAAAATAATCCACAACGTTCACAGGTTCATAAAACTGTTTCATT